ATCATCCTGAGGGAGAAAAGAGATCTGACTTCTTTGCTCCTGTAACTTTGATAAACATTCTCTGATTATCAAAATGTGTAACTTTCAGTTAAGAGAACAATAAATCAAATAAAAAGAAGATTATTCGGTTTATTATCTGATTAAGAAAAAAAGAACGTCTGTTTTACAGATTAAGGCGACCTGAGGTGGCCTAAATTCAGTTCTAAGTGGAACAGAGCTTTTGTCCCTTTAAAAGCCCATCAGAGGACTGAGGTCCAAGACAGTTTCCTTGATTATTTCACTGGAAATAACCCCTACATTTGTGTGCTAAGTTTAAATTGACAAGGAATTATTAAAATGCAAAATAATTGTTATTTGTACAATTTTCTCACCATTGTTGACTCATTACACATCATTACCTGGTTAAATTTAGGTAAACATTAAACTGCCATCTGGTGCCAGTGTTGAAACTGTTCTGGGCAAGTTCAGGGCTGCCAATGTAGCTGCAACTGGCCTATGCTTGGAATCTTTGAGGCATGTGAGTGGAGAGTGAGTATGTGGACCAGACCTGGACCAAACCAATTTCTCTATGAGGTTGAAATAAGGCCAACATCTGGTGCCAGTGCTGAAAATGTTGTGGGCCAGCAATAGGTTGAATTAGTATCCCCCAACTGGTCTGGTGTTGGCATATGCATGAAAATATATTTGGTCCACCAAAGGACCATCAACTTTGCAGTTTCTAGGCAAAGTTTTTGTGCATTGTGTGAGCCAAAACTGGGCCAGACAAGTTTTGCAATGTGGGACAATTGTTGTTGAAAAAAGTGTAAGTTTGTGAACTGATCTGTGATTTTAAGCAGCCCTGGTAGTGTTTCTTGATGGAGGCTTCATATGAATTCCAGAGTACTTCCTGCCACCTCAAAGGTTAAAGATAAATTACAGAAACTTTATTTTGTTATTTTCTTTCTAAGAAATACTACTTTTCCCTAAGAGTAAAAGAGAATGTTTGGGTAATGGTGGAGTTGTGTTCTGATGTTTATACAGTAAATGCATGTATGCTGTTTTATTGCTGTTGTTATTATTACTGGTCACTAGATGGTACTGCTGTGACAGCGTAGGGCAGAAGAAACAGTGTGAGAGTTAGGAAGGAAGGAAGAGACTTGAGGAGTTCTAAAGTGTTGTTTGCACAAGGTCATGCATGTTATAAAGTTCCTAATTTCAACCATTGTCTCCTCATTGTTGTTTACACCTACCAAAACAAGATTAACATTAAAATCTGAAGCTAACCAACAACAATTTGGGGTGGGGGGGGGGGGGTGCGCTATGTTTATTATTTGCTGTGGTTAGGATGGTGTTACATTAAGGTCCCAATGTCCAGGATTACTTAAGACAAATAACACATCAAGTCCAGACAGTTTTAGGATTTAAATAAATGTTTTTTAATTAACAAAGGCCAAAGAGTGCTTGCTGGTGTCTTTAACAAACAAATGAAAGGGAACATTCTTGAACCAGCCAGAAGTTGACCATCAGATTCAGAAACCACTCCTCTTGCCCTGTACAAACCCTGGCAAAAAGTATGGAATCACCAGTCTTGGATGAGCACTCATTCAGACATTTCATTCTGTAAAACAAACTCAGATCAAAAACATGATACAATAATAAGGTCATTCCAAAGTGCAACTTGTTGGCTTTCAGGAACACTCAAAGAAATGAAGAGAAAACATTGTGGAAGTCAGTGAATGTTACTTTTATTGACCAAACACATGGAAAAAAAGTATGGAATCACTCAATTGAGGAAAAAAGTATGGAATCACTCAAACTGAAGGTAGAAAATAAGGACACACCCAGTCAATTTCCTTTCCCTAAATGGACACCTGCCTCAGATAGTGTTTTTATTGCCATTTCATTGTTAATGTTGTGTTTTTAATGTTGTAAAGTGTCCTTGGGTGTTTCGAAATGCGCTAAAAATAAAATGCATTATTATTATTATTAGAGCTGCTTYTTAGTCTGCAGTTAAAAACAACTGCAGTCATGACACCTTGGAGGGCTGCTGGACCAAGTGGAGTGGTTAGAACCATGGCTCCAACAAAAGAAATGTCTCTTGAAACAAAATAGAGGATTGTGAAACTTCTTGAAGGTAACTCTTCACGCATGGTTGCTAAATACTATGTGGGCTGTTCACAGTCGGCTGTATCCAAGATATGGACCAAATACAAACAGCATGGAATGGTTGTTAAAGCAAAGCGTACTGGTAGACCAAGAAAGGCATTAAAGCGTCAAGACAAACAACTTAAGGCCATTTGTATTGAAAACTGAAAAAGTACAACTAAACAGATGAAGCATAAATGGGAGGAAGCTGGAGCCAATGTATGTGACCGAACCGTAAGAAATCCTCTAAAAGAAATGGGATTTTAATACAGGAAAGCTAAAAGNCATTAGTTAATTAGAATATTAATATGTTTATGCAGTTTTTAAGAGTTTAGTTACTCCTCCTCATAAATGTGTTACTTTTTGCTATGTTTGGATTCTTGGGTCTCCCATAAAGGACACGCACACATGTTCTCACGAGAACCTCCACACCTGCAGATAAACACAACTCATTCCCACGTTCTTATATCTTCTGTCCCGAGAACAGTGCTTCGCTGTGCTCAGTCTGAAACTCTAAAAACTCTTCTTTGCTCCGTTGGAGTCAKGTTGTTCTGCTTTCTGGAGTCAAGAGACGCCGCCGAGGGTCTCTCCAGCTTCTTGCTTTTGTGCTGGAAAAACAGCCAGTTTCCAGGTTCTTTCTTTTTGTTGCAGCAATTTTTCCTTTTCGGAACTTACAAGGAAACAGCTCTTCTGACTGGAGTTATAACTTCTATTTTGGGCTGCTCCAAACTGCAGAGCCACCCTGGAACCAACTTGTGAGTTTTTTCCAAAGCTGCCACCCGGATGAGCCCCGGTTCTGAGCCGTGCTGTCACACTGCTGACTGCACCGAGTCCACAAAGGCCTACATCCAGTTGACCGACAAGAAGGCCACGKTGTCTGCTGTCCAGTCAGGCCGACACCCCTGAGCTAGCGTCTTGTCGACTTCCCTCGTCTGGTTGGCCCTGACACGATTTACCTCAGCTGACGTGCTCATCTTGGCTCACAGGCTCAAAGCTTTAAAATACACAATTTAAAGATCATAACCTTAGCTAAGATTTGTTTGTCTGTTTGTCCTACTCTCCTTTGTCTCTTCTCTCTCTGTGTCTCATACTCACACACACAGAACCCTGAATGTATATAAGATAATCTGCATTTACTTAGTTAAAACTGTTAGACAAACTGCTTAACTAATTAGTTCACTTGCTCAGAAAAGTAGAAAATTGATTGTGTTATACTGAGAGCTCATTTATTGTTTAATCATCCAATATTATTATTATCCTCCTAATAAAAGTCAGTTAGTCTTTAACTGGCCAAAATAAAATTACGACTTGTGTTTTCTGTGTGTATATTGGTGACTGAACTATTTTGAAAACTCGAGGCTTCAAGAACTCACAGATTGCTCTTAATTAAAATCATGGTCGTGATTTTAATGAGGGGTTTATCTAGTTAAAAAGCTTAATATTTTAGCCTGGCCCTTGCCTTCCTRTGCAGTCCCGCTCAATAGCCTATATGCCATGGACATCAGGTCCAGCTCTTCATGCCACTCCCAACACTTCCAGTTCACAGTCAACACAGTGTTAGCAAAAGATTTTTTCACCCGACGACGACTCTTAATGATCTCCACAGTACAGAATTAGCATAATACATGTACCAACATTAACACAGGAGATGTACAGGTCCAGCCAAGTGGGAAAAAATCACTCCAAAGTGGATTAAAGCCATAAAAACAAAGGAAAGATGTTCGTGTTTATGGTTCCAGAATTTAGCCTTTTTCCCTATTCCGTGGCTGCTTTTTCCATGCATTTTCCACGTAGAGCTGTGACACATACAGTACATTTCCCTTTTGTAACCTCCGTCTTCTCATTTCTGATGCTGACTCTTGAATATCCTCAGGTTAGAAATGCAGATTACAAACATGAGCGTGAGCTTTAAAAGATGTTTTCCCTGTAATGCTATGATCCACTGTTGTCACCTCCTCATCAAGAGGAAAATGGATAAAAACTAACTACTCGATCGTACCTGCTGCTTAGTGAACACAACGGCACACAACAGAACTCACGTTTTATACCAGTAGATCACAGATGCTTTAACTTTTGTGACTTTTTCACAGACCAGTACTAGCAGCTAATGCTAAAAACATAGGCAGTAAGCAGGAAGTGGAAGGGAGGAGCGTGGCAAAAATTTTACAGGAAATACGTCATTAATGACCGTGGCATATACAGTATGCTATTCTAGTTTCCCTTCACTGCTCTGTCTGGGACTTCTCCCATAGACAAGGATTTCGCTGGCAGATTTTTAGCCAAACCAATCAGAGAACAGAAAGTYGATTTTCTGCACAGTGTCTGCTTGTAGTTTATTTTACCTGGGCTAATCAGAGAACAGAAGGAGGAGTTTTGAATGATGTTGATTAGTTAGTTATTTTATCATACGGCAGTGGAGGAAGWGAATGAAGCCAGTCTGWGTTGATAAGGCTTCCAAATTAAATTAAATTTGTCTGACAAAGCAGCAGCTCTCATTTACAGTCGTCTCGTTCGGCTCGGTACTTTTCTCCTCTCAGTAGGGTTGTTTACAGCCCACGCAATTTCCAATTAGCTTCTTAGCTTAGCCTCCGTCACAGCGACATCCATCGCAGCCAGCTGATCCAATCATTTTAAACTTCAGCAGAGGCCACACCTCCTGCAAGAATCACTTCTCTACAGCTGAGACTTTTTTAGTTTTTGCTTTATTCCTATTTTATTGCTGTTATTGTTTTAAATTATTTTTAATCTCTGTTTTCTGTTTTTCATGTTTTTTATTTTACATGTACAGCACTTTGTTGCAGCTGTGGTTGTTTTAAAGTGCTTTATAAATAAAGAAGAAGTAGTAGTAGTAATTAGAAGAAACAAAAGACAGATCATTAAATATTGTGGGTTAAATATTTATTGTTCACTTGTCACTTTTTTCACACCAGATTTATGAAGCTGATCACATAGTTGTTCTTACCATGTGAGAATTACACTTTGGACTGTTAAATAGTGTCATAATAGTTAATAAATTATATGACTGAATTAAACCATTCAATCATGAGTCAGAGGAACAAGTGGCCTATTTATATTTTACACGACTGCAAATCACTTGGTGCCATCATATAACACCTACATAAATCAAGAAACAATGTAAACACTCAAAATGCAACAAAAAGTATAAATAATTTAAAAAGAGTGCAACAATTTTCAATAAAGTAAGAGCTCACTGTTGTGAAAATGCAATCGAGTTGAGCAGCAGTGGCAAAAACTGCCCTGCTCAGTAGTCTCATGAAGTTCTGATCTGAGGTCAAATATTCCAGAAGATTCAGAGTTGAGGTCTRAGAGGTGAGAGGAGGACTTTTTAGGTGTCCCAGGAATTCCTGATCTGAGGTCTGATGATCCTCATCTGGGAACAAAAACATTGAAAGAATGGTCAGAACATGAAAAGCTATTAATAACTCTTTCATTCTGATGGTGTACACTGACCGGTACATCGCCAGAGAAGTTCCTGTTGGTTGGGGGCTGGGAGTATCCAGGATTAGACAACATATTATTATAGGTGTCCAGGGTTTGTGGAGGTGAGAATGAGCCCGATTGTTGTCTGAAGGAATTCTCATTGTAGAGAGCCAAATCTTTTTCTTGATACACTGGGTTTTTAAAACCTAGGGGAAACATAATAATCACCAAACATTTCAAAGTCATGCACTTTTTTTTATTTTTTTGTTCCATGTAAAGTAGGAACCATTTTTATACGAGTATTTTTAAGAATTGCCTGCAAATCAAAAGGTAAATGTCCGTGAGATAATGTGTTTGCCCCTTTCTCCTGTGTGTGTCTGTYAGCAAACTATCTTAGAAACTGAACAATGTTTAATAAAGCTCTCAGAATCTAATTATTGCATGTACATTTACKTAACATTTGATTAACCTGGTCAACATTTAGTGTCAACTAAATTCAAGAAGGTTGCCACATCCACCTGATCTTAAAAACAATACAAGTGGTGGCAATTCAGTGAATTTTACAAATATTGAGATAATCTTTGGTGTAGAAGTAACTGAATCATTTACAAACCAAAGTCATTTTCACTGAGGGTCACATGAGCATTATGGTGGCCCTCAAAGGATCAGTTGTGATTAACTTTGATGTTTCATGTTTAATTTAGTCTAAACAGAAAATGTCACKTTCCTCGTCTCGTTGTTACAGCTGAGCAGCACTAACCAACAATAAATGAGCTCTACCTGGTATTTCCTGCGTAGAAACAGTTTTTTAACGCATCCTCTTATAAACACTAAAAAGTACTATGTGTACAACTGACTAAATGTGAAATAAATAATACAGAAATTACTATTAAAAGTAAAAATAAGTTTTACTAACTGTTGAGTTTTAGTGAGTCTTGAATTCTGAACTCTCTCAATTTCCAACGGGGAATTCCCATGCATAATCAGCATGCATTGTGGGAGATTTAGTTTATGGTCAATACTGGTTTTAAAGCAACTTATTTTGAGACATTATTACAGGGACATTCAGCTAAATTGCGCAGGTGGGCACAGTTACTCAAAGTCAAGTGTGCTGTCACCTGCGGGCAGCTTTTGGCCCATGTATCTTATTTGACAGGTGGTCTGTGATGCTTTCAGACAGTTTGTCTGTTAACATAATTAAGTTCCAACATTACTGTAACACTTTTTATTTTATTTTAGGTCTTTCAAATTAGCAAAAGTCAGATTAATATCAGCTTGAGTCTAATTGTTAAGGCCAAATTAAGTTTCATAGTTTTTTTTCCATTTCCACTGTCAAAATCTTTAAAATGTTTCCTTGAGTGAAGAAAAGTGTGAAAAAACTAAACCAAAATGAAATGAATATCCTACTCTGTAACCTTCAGGCACAATTAAGAAATACTTACTGGTTTTCAGTCCATTCACTGGGGTGTTGGATCGAGACCATTCATAGTCTTCATTCAACCACTCGTTCACCAGTTTTTTCTTAATGTCCTTTTTCCTGCAGAAGAAAAAAAACATTGTTTTGTTTGTGTTGATTTAGCATAACATTTACTCAAAAATGTCTTCATGTCCTGACAGTTGTTAGGTTGAAAACAGTCTGAGCTTTGCTATAATGAAGGGGTGCTCCTACATTCATCATSGTTATTCATCTCAAAAGCTAAAATGAACTTGGAACCTTCTTTGTAATATTTTAAACTGACAAAACATCAACGTTTTGAAATATAAACCACAGAAAAAGTGTAGAGGTTGTAAAATAAAAAGAAGAGTTTGCAAATAAGTTCAAACAGCTCCAACGTTACTGTATGACATCATTACACTGTAAGATGTAACATTCTGTGTTAAAATCTCCAAAAATACTTCACGTTCAACTATGACTGTGCAAAWATCAGTAAAAAGCTGAAAACAGAAGTTGAGTGAAGTCAAACTTTCTGTGATCTTTTTAAACTTTGAATGGTGTTTCTGTTGTGAAGTCTGAACTGTAGAGCTCTAAACAGGTTTTACCACTTGTTTCTGCCAGATCCTGTAAATGTGTTTTGTTGTTGTTTTATGAGTTTTAATGATCCAAGATCCTAATTTGTATCAAGAGAAATGGGCACTACTTCACAACTTATTGAACTTATTTATAAATCTTGGTGCTATAATTCTTGAACCACTGTTAACCCCTACACATGACTACAACCATGAATCACTGATCACACTCAGTTCAGTGATACTGCAACTGAAAATTATTTTACAGTAGTTTGTTACAATTTTGAGTCKCACTGATGACAGCCCAGTGRGATACTGGCTTTACCTGTAAGGTAAAACTGTTGTTGGAGATGAGTGGATGTTTTCACTCACTGTTTCTGGTGAGACTGTGTAATTCAAGTTATTCAAAGTTTATCACATTTAACTTGTAGAGTTTTACTCTCATTCTCATGTTGGTAATTAATTATAATTGCACTTGAGGAGCACACTTACTTTGTCTGTTTATTTTTGTTGACGAATGTGTTGACAATCAGGGCTATGATCATCACTAAGAGACAAGCGAGGGTCACACTTAATCCTGCGTAGAAAGCAGTCTTCTGAATAGGCAGGTCACAGTCACTGCCCAGGTACCAAGTGGTATTTAAATGTTGACATCTGAGAAAAGGAAACACAACAGTTAGGTCTGGTGGGAGGAACTCTTTTGTATAAAAAGTATGAAAGCATCACTCTGAACGTACTCGCACACAGGTCCCTGGCCACTGTACAATTTGCAGGTTCCCTTATTTTTGCATATTTTACGACCATCAGGATATTGGGCGTCACATGGTGTAAAGCACTCATAAATGCCATCAACYAGTACAGCCTTGTAGTAGTGAGCAATATCTTGGTTCTCCACATGGCTTTTACACAGAGCTGAACAAACACAAACAGGATGACTGTCAAATTTTGTAACTCAGCAACACATCTGATAAATTAAGGATGCCAGTGCAACACATTCAGCAAGCACAATTATTAATATCCTGTTGGTTTTGGATTGGTTGAATTAAGTCATAAAACCTATTGAAGGCATATTGCTCAGACAGACTTCATCATCATTCCAAGTATAAACAGAACCATTGGRAAMAGAAAGTTGGACTTTACATGATTAAAATTCAATTTTCAGACCTTTAACTGAATCACATTTAAAGTTGGAGGATTTTTGGAGAATTGACCACAGAATGTAGGGCTTTTATAATCACCCAGTGTTGAAGGAAAAAGGGTAATGATTTTACCAGCATCTGTGTTTGTTTGTCTGTCTGTTGGCAAAATATTTCATGAACCAGAAGACAGTTATTATTGAAACTCTCATGACCTATTCACTAGATGTATGTACATTGTTAAGATATTTGTTGTGAATGACCGTCAGAAACTACCACACTAAATTTTAGCTTAAAAGTTTGACCAAATTGTCTCTAACTCTATCACATCTCAACATTCTGTTTCACATTAATTTTTAAAACACAATTTTACAATTCTATCTGTTCCACAAATGTTCCATTTAAAGTGTGATGATGTCACACTAACTTTTCAGCTGTCAAGACTTAAGTTGTTTTTGCGAACATACTCGTTACCCCTGCAAACAACACATCTTTGACAGTTTATATATTAAAATGTAGGTGTTTATGTCTCCTTTGACTCAGTGTCTCGTGTTTTTTTCTGAATTCTCCCTCAGAATGCAGGTTGTGCACATCCAGTCCCACTGTATTCAAGAACAAAATTCCAATTCAAATCTAGAAGGGAAGTCTCTTTTTAAACTTTTCATATTTACTCCAAAAAGTGTCTTTTTTAGCCAAAAAAAAGTGTCTTGACGTTTTAAACTGGCATTTCAAGTAAAATTCATAATATACTGTATATATTAAGAAGAGTGTCTTTTTATAGCTTAGATTTTAACAAAGGAAATACCAAATCATACAGTATGTTGCATTACAGGAGAAAGTTGATGGCTGCTGGAGCTGTGTTTAGAGTTTCTGCAGAAAATTTCTAATTTACAGAATGGCATGTCGTATTTCAATAATCTAGTTAGAAAATCTAAAAGAAAGTTGACAAGGTCCTCTGGTTGGGTTCTTCTTTGTTGAAACATTTCGTCTCTTTTCCAAGAGACTTCTTCAGACTGATGAGTCACAGATAAACTCAATCTTACAAGCAGTACTTTCACATGGTGGGCAAACAAGTTAACAATGACAATCAAAACTGTTTGTTTACATGCAAAAGAGAACCATCAGCCTAACAAACAAAGTAAATGGCTAATTTCCCCCCCCCAATGTACCAGTTATCCATCAGGGAAACAAAGCAGCCACTGTTCAAAAGAATGAGCCAGCACAGAAGAGCAACATCATCAGGTCAGGACTCTGCAGTTTACACTCATCTTCAGACCAGTGGTCACTCTCTCAGGGATGAAGATGTTCTCATCCTTGATCAAAAGAATGCTGGTTCGAGAGAAGTGTTCAGTAAAAGACCAGTAATACTTACAAGTCAGATCAACTTCTTGTCTGTCCACTGTGCTGCTTTCGATGTTAATATCACATTCTTAAAGAAGAAAAACACTTTAACTGATGTCCACAGAAAATGTATAGCTTCAAAGGCAGTCTTTGGAATTTAATAAAATACTTCAGTATACATTCTTTTATAATTATTTTCTGTTTTACCAACGCAATTTTGAAGATTTTTAAGAGCTTCCAAAACGTCATCAACGCTGTTGTTGTAGGTAGCTCCAGCTGTATTGGTGTTGTCTATTTTCAAGACCACATCATGCGCAACACGAACTCTGAAGAAAAAGAATTCTATGTCATTATGGGCACATTCCTAAAAATGAGCAGGCTGTTAAATTTTTCTTTTAGAACTTTAGTATTTTAGTGTTTATTGTCAACGATTCTTTTAAATTACAAAATGGGGCATTTGCCAAATGGTTAATCAGGTTAAGGTAGGTACAATGGGCCTCATGCAAGAACCGTTCGTACTCACAGATTTGTTCTTAAATTGTGCGTACGAGTGATTTAGGAGAATTTGTGGCATTCACCAATGTTTTCATATTATAGATTTTCTTCAGATACGAACAAAATTCAGGAGTGGTCCAGACC